AAAGATCTGTCTGAGTAGAAACAATTTCATTACAGGAGAATGTTGGCTATTACTTCTAAGGATGTCACTTTATTGCCCAGAACGTGAGGAACTTTCTTTCTACTTTAATAATTAGATGCAAGAATACTTTGTTTTTCAAGAACTTTTGTATTAAACGTTCGCTTGGATCCAGTCACAAACTGCTGGGAGGAAGCTGTGCGGAGAGGGCCATGCATGCGCAGTGCTGGCTGCTCAGGGCCTGCAGCCCTTAATAACATGGGCTCAGTGGGTCGCGACCTCTATGTCAAATTCTGTGTTCTAAAATAATTCTGGCCCAAATACAACATATTGTTGGATTACTTTGGGCCACACAAACCAATTAAAAAAAAAAGTCTTAGCCCTGGCCAGGGGGTTCTGTTGGTAGGAGCATCCTACCGTACATCAAAAGGTTACAGGTTCTATCCCCAGTCAGGGCACATGCCTAGGTTGTGAGTTCGATCCCTGGTTGAGGTTTGTGCGGAGGCAATCAGTCTGTTTCTCTTTCTCTCAATCCCTTCCTCTCTCTAAAATCAATAAAATTATCTGCAGGTGAGGATAAAAAAAGTAAGTCTTCAATGTACAAACTTGGATTAATCATAATCTGTGGTTCATGGTATATTCTCATCATTGAGTCTTGCACAGTCCTCTCCTTTCATTCATTCATTCGCTTATTCATTCATTCATTCATTCCAGGCCATCAGTTTCTGGCCTCTAGAATACATATGGTGCTAATTCCAAGTGCATGTTAAATGGGTAAATGATGTCCCCGCAACTGCTGTTTACATGGCTAATTAACTCAGCAAGCCTTTTCTGGGTGGTAACACAGGGCTGTGATTATGGTGTAGGCTTAGAGGGAGAGGGTTTGTATTTAGGTTATGCACTTGAACATGGGCAAATTACTTCACCTTGACCTCATTTTTCTCTGTTGCCCAAGTGGGTTATACCTTGTAAGGCCATTGAAAACACTGAAGGAGGTAATCCATGCTAAAAGCATGGAGCATACTGAAATAACTGCATTAACACTGGCTACCACCACTGTTATGCTAAGGAGAAGGCAGAGGCAGACCTCTCGGCCTGTATCCTGCTGTTGCTGACATACTAGCAAGGAATCAGGATAGACCTGGAAGCAGGAAATGCCTTTCTGGCCCAAACACAGGTGTAACGTCTTCACAATCCAGCAGAATCCTGGATAAGACTGGAGAGTCAGAATAGTCTTTATTCTAGGAGTCAGTGGCTCTCAAACTGACTCTGTGTTAGAATCACCTGGTGGGCTCACTGAACCACAAGTCACTGGGCCCCACCGTGGTCCTCAGATCCTGGAGGCAAGAGGGAGGGGCCGACATGTGCATCTCAACACATTCCCAGGCAGAGCTGCTGCTGGTCCAGGGGTGACCCTTTGAGAACCACTATGCTAAGCAATTTACTCTGATGAGGGGCAAGAGGCAGTCAAGGGAGGCTTCCTGGAGGTGAAGGCCTTTGAGGGGAGCTTCAGGTTGCTGATGAAGAGGGGTGAGTAGAGGGAACAAGTACACAGAGGTGTATGAGTGCCCAGGCTGCTCTGGAAAGGCCTGTGCTGAAGCCAACAGGTCTCCAGGCACCACAGGCACAGGCCCTCGGAGGCCGGCTCAAGTCCTGGCTCCACTCTGCCGACCTCTCAGCAGAGGAGGATTTTCAAACTCAGGGAAATGTGAGAACTGGCCACCGCATGAAGGCTGGTTGAGGGGGAGAGCAGGTGAGAGAATGGGGAGAAGTGGTGGGACAGGAGCAGAAAGCAGCGTGATCCTCAGCCCAGATGTGTCTGGCTTCTTTCAAGTCTGGGGGCTTTCTTCTGTGACACTTTTCACACTAGGGACAGAAACCCATGATTTCCAAAGGTGTAAAATCAACTATGGGGTACAGTCAGCATTTAAAAAATGAATTAGAAGAAAATAGAATTAAAAAGATCCAGAGGTCACTGCACAGAACAAGGGTCTTGTTTCATCACGCCTGTTTCAGGTGTGTGGGTGGATGTGCACTGCACTGGGATGTACATGGATTATGGTCAGAAAGGTTGGAGCTAGGGCTCTGTGAAGCCTGCTTACCAGCCCACCCAGAACCCAGGACTGGGCTCTGCCCTAGGGGCAGATGATCTGCATCTTATGCTTTATTATTTCAAGAAAGGTAAAAACACAACTGAAACACAAGAGATTTGTGCAGTATTATGGAGAAGGTTCTGTGACTGATCACACATGTCAGAAGTGTTTTTGCAGTTTCTTGGTTCTACTGACATTTTGGCCAAATTATTCTTTACTGTGGGGCTGTCTGATGCATTGGAAGATGTTTAGCAGGATCCCTGGCCCCCACCCACTAGAGGCCAGTAGCGGGAGGTAGCCGACATACTCAAACTATCCAGATCAATCAAGTTATTGGTGAAAATGAAAAATGTGTCTTTTATTTTATGGAAAAAACATAATGGACTTCTTGGCCAACCCAATACAAAGTCCAAAAGGAGCTTGGAGAAGCCTCAAATATCAGGTGACGAATCAAGTTAGAACTGAGGGAGCTGAGTCCTGTTTGCCAGTTCTGGCCTGGGACTTGGACATAGGCCTGAAGGCTCCAGTGCCCTTCTGGGCCACTTTCAGATGCCAAATGCCAGCTCAGAGATGCAGCTGCCCCTAGCCTGCATTTTGGAACCAGTAACCATTCTGGGTGAGACTGTAGGTGGGGACCCAGACTGACAATACTTTAGGGGCTGTAGGCATATCTTCCCCATACCAGGTGAGAATCCTGGGAGCACCAACCCCACTCTATTTGACTCTACCAAATATGTCAGCAACTCTTTTTCAAGAATTTTCATGACACCATAATTGGGACTGTTTGTAGAAATATTCATACATACATAGTTACTTTCACTTTTTTTGTGGGTGGTTCTCTACCCAGTCTACAAATTTCATTGGCTCTGGGATGGCACAATTCAAGACCCTCTCCATGCCCCTCTATATCTGGCTTAGGACCTGCCCATCTTCAGGTGTGGTTAGGGTCAGATGGTGTCACTTTGCATATTAAGGAAGAGTTGCAGAGAGGTTCTGTGGCTTGCTCAAGGTCGCTGAACAGAAGGTACCTGGGTGACTGTGGGTCTCCTGCCTGCTGGCACAAGGCCTCTTAGAGGCTTCTGGCTGCTCAGATGTGAGGTACAAAAGCTTGCCGTGTGCTTGTGATACAGCTGAAGGAGGATGGGCAATTTCACAATGCGGAAGTGCCTTTGCTGATATAGTTCTCTACCTGATAAATAACCCTTTTCTGTTGAAAGGATACTTCCATATCTAGGAAACTGCTCAAAAATTCATAGGGGGGAAAAACAAAGGCAAAGTTTAAAAAGTAACGTGGAAAAGCTGAAGTCACTGTTCCTGTCCTCTTTCCTTCAACTGACTTAATGCCACTGAGGCGTAATTTTTCAGTGTGGACACAGGGAGGCCCTCGGGGACCCTCACTGCGACTGGGTGGACTGCACAATTCTGTCCTAAACTTATGCTACGTACGTACATGCAGCATCAAGTGTCACATCTTATTTCCTCTCATCCACCTTGATTGAGGCAGAAAAAGGGTAAACAGCAAATGCTGTTGTGAATATCCTTCCAAAATGGTAATTATTGCATCATTATGTTCGCTACTTTACTTGTCATGTACCATTAGAAGGTAACAAGATCATTGTCAGTCAGAGATTGTGGAGATAATTAGAGCATCTATAGGTTAGCAAGAAATCAAATTGGTGCTGGTGCCCATCAATGCTGAGGAGCTGAACATAATTAGTGGCAAAATATGCAAAGGTTGAGCTGAATCAAGCCCTGGGGATTAAATACCGTGACTGATTTGGAGAGTTGGCGCTTCTGCGTCCTGACATTGCAGATGGCAACACAAAAATAGGTGTGCGACAAAGGCAGTGAGACTGCTCAAAACAGTGTATCAACAGTCTCCTGTTCAGGGTCTGGAAGGTCCTGAGAATGGCCTGATTTGGAAAACCAGTGTTTACCACGTTTTCCGAGCCACTGGCTTTTCTTCAAGTTATATTCTCTAGTCTGGGAGTCAGATAGAACATATAAAAGCAAAGCTGAGTGAAGTGGGCTTTATCCAAGCAATTCCTGCTCTATCTACCCTCAGCTTTCCAAGCCTGCCGGGCCAGTTTGCCCACCCAGGGGTCTCCAGTGCCCCACTTCCCACACACCCTTGTGGGGCTTCAGAAGCTCAGGGCACCCTCTGCCACATGTCCAGAGCTCCTGGTTTCTAGTCACTGCCACTTCTAATGCCCACTCTGCAGCTACCCACATCTTGCTGCCCTGGACGGCTTTCCTTTGTTTTTTTCCAGTAAGATAAAAACATCGATTGAAACAGAAATTTCATCAGGTTGACACAGTAAAATTGAACAATTTTGCATCTTAAAAAAAACAAAACATATTTTCAAAGGTGAGGCAGGAGTCTGCAAACTGATGGAGAGATTTGCCACTTCATTCAACAAGACACAGAAAAAGTGGACCCGGGGAAAAAATCTGGAAGGCCTTAAACAACACCTCTGAGTCATCTGAGCGAAATGCAAGGAAAAGGCAGGAAAGGCTATTGCCAAAGGCCTGAAAGCAGATTTGTCATCGATGCAGAGGAAGCGAGGGTTGAAGTTGGAAGGAAGCCTGAGATGCAAAGGGCACTTGCTAACTTGGCCTATACCTACATCATCTACAAATCCAAAACTCCCTTCCTGTGAAGTACAGTATTTTGCTTAGAGGATACATTAAAAAAAAAAACAAACAACCAAAAACCTACAGTGGACTGTCTGAGGCCCTAATGTCTACAGAAACTAACAGGCAGGTGGCTGGGCGGATGGCCAGCTGTTGTGGGTCAGCCTTCTGCTCATGCTTGGCTGGGCTCACGGTGTGTCAAGAGCCAGGTCTGGCAGGAATGGCTTCTCGCCGGAGGCCACAATGGCCATCTCACACACACAGGCAGCTGGAAGCTTGGTTCACATTTTTTAATAACATGGCACAGTTTACATTACACAAGAAGGCTCCGCCGATGAGAACATGCTGAAGATTCAGTCGCTTCACTTTTCTTTTCACATAGGATCTAGAAAGGACTTTATTACATACAGGATAAACAGCAAAAAGGTCTGTATAGAACAATCTCTTTACAATACTGAAAGCTACCACTACAGTTCCAGTGTACATATTCCTTGGATTTTTTTCCTTTTTAGTTGTTGTCTTTAAAAAAAAAAAACACTGCACAACATCTGGAATTCACAAAAAATCTGAAGCTCACAACTAAACCTTCAGTTTACTACTAAAATAGATCTCTCTGCTTATTAGAAACAATGGTCTGTAGTTAACTTTTTTCTTCAAAAACAGGATAACAACGTCAGATAGCACTTTAATATACTAGAAGACCAAATGGAACTAATTTTATTTCATACATATATTTTACAGTCCAGTAGACAAGATATATTGTATTTCTCTGCTAGTAAAGTCATATTCTCTCCAAATATGTAGACAAGAGGCTTAATGTATTATAAAAGTATCATGAAGAGACATTAAGATCGATGCAAACTTAAAAACGCACGCACACACAAGACTTCGTCTCTGCCACCTTTCACCCTCTGTAACTCGCCGTGGCTCCGTGAGGCTGACCTGCTATGGCTGGCTACTCCCAGACTTTATTACCAACTGGAATATGGTGAGTCACATTAGGAAATGTGCACCTTCAATCTGTCAGTTATCGACTACAACAAAAACATATCCATCATCTGAGAAAACGTGAAGCTTTCTTTCAGGATCTGTTTGGGTGTGATGAAATCCCATTACAAAACGAGGAAGTGTGTACAGACAGGAAGTAGGACACACTAAACAATGCATGGTTCCACATGAGGTGTGTGTGAAGTCACAGGACTAGCGGTGACGAGACGCTGGCGACCTGTTTGTGTCCCCTGATTTTGGCATCTGACAACTCCTGACCCCCTGGCTGCTCTCATCCACTGACCTTTCCGGGGCTGTGCTCTCCCCTGGGAGCCCGCAAGCAGCAACTTTAGGCGCAAAGTTTCAGCCTGGGGTCCATTTTGCAAAATGGGATGTTCCTCCATTTAAAAAAACAAGCAAGGAAAACAGAGTCATATCACATAAGCGCTTGTTCAGGGAAAATATGACCTTAAGTATGTTGTAAATGGATCTGAAAAGGCTCCTTTGAGTTAGGCGGGCTTTTGTGAAAAGCCCGAACATTCATTGCATAGTTGAAGGGTTTAGCTGTCTATGACAATACATGGGAACGCAGCCGTAGCCGGCGTGTTCACTGGTATTAGGTTTGCAAAGAGCACATTTTAAGAAGTATTAATGTATTATGTTACTTAATCTTTACCTATTTACATTTTTACAAAGTAAAGCTTTCATCTTACCCTTTTGCATATATGAACCCTCAGCTCTTGAAGCAATCTTTTTTACATAACTATGTACACGGCCTTCCCATCCCGTCTGAAAGAGCTTCGCATGGTGGACTGTGCGGACTGCGGTCTGTTTTCTCCCCAGTTAACACCATGGTGGTGTGTGTGGTCATCTTCACTGTTTTGGTTCAAATAAAAACATTTTATATGTGAAACCAAAAGAGCTGGACACATGAGAACATATGACTTGGCTAAAAGGTCTGAAAATTTTCAACATATAATATACAAAACCATTTCAAAATCTGCACTGAGGCTATACATTGTTTACAAGGGGAAGCGCTGGGGGCTTCCGGCCCCCCAGTCTGTGTTACTGACGCAGGAGTCCTCTGGCTCTCTCCTTCTCTAGAGTCTGGCATTGCGTTGGTGCGAGGTTCCTCCTTCCTCTTCCTTGGCCCATTTTCTCCTTATCGAGCTTCGATATCCTTCAGAGTGTGGGAAGGCGGCCTCTCCCTTATCTCTGCAGACAGAGGAGTAGTCCTCCTTGGGGAGACGGGGCGGCCCCCCAGCGTAGAAATGAGCGGGGGAGGCGCGCTCAGCGCTGCCGTAGGAGGGGTCTTGTTGAGGAGTCCGTTCTGGTGCCCCGTGGTGGGGCTGATTCTGGGGTAGTGCATGCTGGGGAGCCCCGGAGTGATGAGGCTGGGGTGGGGCAGATGTCCATCGAGGGAGGCTGGGTGGACAGGGTGGAGCCGCGTGTGCTCGTAGTCCTCTCTGAGCATGTGCAAGCGCTCCCGCTCGTCCAGGTGACCCCCTCGCTCGTGTTCCCGCCGAGGGTCCACAGACAGAGGGTGGTGGTGGTGGTGGTGGTGGTGGTTATAATCATGAGGCTCCCTGTCCCTGAAGGAGCGGTCAGCTTCGTACAGCCGCGGGGTTGAGAGACGGTGGAGAGGGTCGTTCCTCAGCAGAAAGTCCCTGCCCAGTGGGTCTCTCCGGTGAATGTCCAGTTCTCGGTAGGGATCCCTTAAAGGGTCCCGGATGGGGTCCCAGTGGAAAGACGGATATGGGAACCGCTCTCCACCGGGGATGGGGCTGATGCCCATGAAGGGAGTCATCATGCGAGTCCTGTCCAGGCTGCTGATGCTGTTCATGGGGTGGATGCCTGTCACCCCCACTGTCATGGGCATGGAGGCCAAGGGCCCCGGGTGCACACTGGACGAGGAGTTTGGAGGCGGTGGCTCCGAGGACCGGTGGGTCTGCGGGGCCTCTGGAGGGAGGTCATGGTCTTCCTTGCGCTCCTCCTTTACCTTGACCTCTGAGCTCTTCTTGGGGTTCTCGTAGGCCGGCTCGCTCTTGCGCTGCTCAGCCTCGCGGCTGGAGGTGCTGTTGGGCCTGGCGCTCTCCACGACGGGGGTCCGCACGTAGGGCGACGACACTCGGGCCAGCTGCTTGGCCTCTTCGCCCACGGCTCGCCCTTCGTGGCCGTGGCCGTCCTTCTCGGGCGGGTGGCCCTCCCTCACCTTGTGCTCCTCCACAGTCAGGTCCTTCCGGGACTCCGCATGGTCCCGCTCCCTCTCTTTGGATTTGTCTTTCTCGCGAGCCTCAGTGTTCAGATGACCCCTGATCTGTTCAGTGGAGCCGCGGGTGTGTCCCAGGGTGCTCACCGGGAGGATAGGTGCTGGTGAAGGGTGGCTGGAGTGTCTTTTCTCAACACTTTCCCTGAGGGAGAAAGAGGGAGACAGGAAGCAAATGAAATGGGCCCGTTGGCCTGGCCAGGGGCTGCCGATGAAATGGTGGTGTGAAAAGGGCAGGCTGGGTCAGTTTCCACAGTCACTGGGGTAGCCAGTGGCCCCTTTGTACTGCACAGCCAGCCACCCTGACCTCACTTGCCTATATTGTAGAGGAAGCTTTAAGGGTGGGGGAGGGCAGTGCTAGGGATGAGGGGGAGTGGGGAGTCTGGAGGGGAAAAACAATTGTCTCTGTGTGTAAGAGTCCTGTGCCTCGATCAAGACCACAGGGGAAGAGCCTTCAGCAAGTCAAAGTGGCCCAGTGCCACCCCTGGCGCAGTGATGTGGCTGTACTGCCCATCTGACTGGAGTCTCGGGATCAGTTAGTGTTGAGAAGAAAGTTTTCAGAGACTAAATGCAAATATGATTTTTTTATCCAACTTTGTCATACAGAGCCGGTGGGACAAGAGTTCGGCATGACTATTACAGATGCTTCTCTCTCCTGGCATCAGGACAAACAACTGGTTTGAGAGTAAAACAATGTGAGACAGAGCAATCCCCAAGATGTGGCGTGTGAGGGAGGGTTTAAAGGAAACCACAAATTCAGGACTTTGGGGTCACAAAAATAACTTTTGCATTAGGAAGAGTAAGAAAGCTAAAATCTGGTGAGAAGATGAGAAAGCCAGTAGGAAAAGCTGGTTGAGAGACACAAAACCTCCTGGGGGAACTCAAGGGCAATTTTAAGAGAACCTATGAATGGAAACGTGAAAGGATTTTAGAGACCTATCTTGGGTGGTGGCTTAAGACTACTGGGCAGAAAAGGCAAAGCCAGAGAACAACAATGAGGTCAGACTTGAAGAGGGAAGACTGAGTCCAGCAAGTCCTGGGGCCCCCAACAGATGTGGGGAGGGCGAGGAGACAAGCAGGACACCATGCTGGCTCAGCCTTGGCAAAGCCCAGCAGGCAAGGTGGCTGCAGTGGGGGAGGTTAGGGTTTCCCCGCAGAGTTTGTTTCTGGTCCACATGCAAAGGCTGAGAGGAAGAGCATCTTTAAAAGGTAAGATTGAAGAAGAGTGTGTTTTAGGTTTTCTGAGTTTCATCCAAAGGGCCGTTTTGACTCCATCAAGAAAAATGTGAACAGTTTGCTGCTGCATCCCATCTCTCTGCGCTGACAGCCGCTCTGAGGAGTGCTCTGAGCTGAGGGGCATGTCCACTCAGGTGCGCCTCCCTCTGGCAGCTCACAGCTCAGAGATGAATGTTATAAATGTTCCTTCCCCTGGCTGAGAGGGTTTTACCAAACCATCTTGAAGGAAAACTTGTCTTTTTCTTTTCAAGAAAGAACTCAGTGAGCATGATGGCCTGTGATGAACATCTACTAATCTGTCACATCTAGAGCCTGCAAAGTTGAATTCTTTTAAATCACTAAGATACAAACACACAAAATATATATATACAGTTAAAGAAAAAGTAAAGATTTGGGTCATATTAGAGTCTTTCAGTACCAGGAGGAAATTGTTATTAGGTATTTTCTGTCAAGTGTATCTTGAGTATTCCTTGCTTATCAGTTTGTTAAAAAGGAAAGTAGCCTGAAGAAAGAAAAAAGGGGGCACACGGTCAAGAATGCTTAAGCCATTCTCCAGGAAAAAAATACTGCAAGACATTTTCCTCTTTTGGCTACTTCTTTCTTAGGCATGAGTTACCAAGTATGGAGATTAAAAAACAGTTAGTAAAATTAACTATCCACCAGCAAAACAAACCCAAACCAACAATGCTTATTGACGTTTCTCTAAATCTAGGTGCGCAAAATTTATTAGTCATCTGTGAGAGCCCAGGATTTCAGTTTGAACATAATTTCAGAAAAATATGATGAGGCAATGCAAACATGACTTTCTCAAAGAAAACAAAAAGAGAGAAAAACCTATGGATGATTTAATGGACGGCACGAACTGGAAAGCAAATATGGTGTTGATTCATGCTGTGTGTGTTTGGTCCAAAGCTCCAACTCACTGTCTTATAGAGAAAGATTTGTATTTGGACACACTACTGCTCACATGGGCTTTGAAGGGTCTGCATGTGTTAGTGCTTCTGAGTCGGGGCTGTCTTGCTCTGCTATCAGTTCTATGGTCACGATGCCCCACGGGGCCAAGGGCGTGCACTCTGGGACGCCGGGGCCTGGGCGCTGCACCGGCCCCGGCCGCATGAGGAGCTGAGGCTACAGGACCAGCTGAAGCACAAGGCTGGGGCAGGGAGGGTGGACTGCCAGTACTTGGCACAGACGGGCTCCCCCAGTGGGACTCGAGAGCGGTTTCTTTCCGTACCTTTCTTTGTCATCTTTACTAACGGATGAGTCTCGTTTATCTACATCTCTATCTCTGTCATGAGCTGCAGTGGACGCGCCACGCTCCAGCTCCCCTGGCTTCAGCCAGGGCGGAGGGGTCGGGAACGACGGAGGCGTTCGGTGCAGCCGGTTCCAGGGCTCGTGAGGGTTGCTAAAGTTCTGCACACTGGGGCCATCCTTGTGGCCGAACATTGAGTTGGGTGCTGAAATGGTGAAGTGGAGAACAAAAAGGTTTAAGAGAAATTATATAATCTGCTGTAATGAAGGTACTTACCAAAAAACTTTTAACAGCATTCAGAGTTAAAATGAATACATATTATTGGGAGCTGGAAAAGGAAAGGAGATTAACACATTCATTAGAGGAACTTGTCCTACACTGGAAAGGCAGCTCACAGCTTTTTTTTTTTTTTTTTTTAAACCAAAGGCAAAGGGGTGGAGGGAGACAATTAAAAGGGGAAGGTACCAAAAAGGTGTCAAGATTCCCTAATTAAACACATCTGTGCATGCAGCAGCCCCAAGCATGCGAGGGTGTATTTTGGTGGTGTGCCTTAGAGGGACAACACCCAATTCGGAGTGGAGTTCAGGGCTGTCCACTGCCACCCTCAGCCCTGCTAACATGACTGCTGCTCTTCCCACAACTTTGGCAAACTGATGTCACCAGAGACAAGTTTAGCAGCGTGACCTAAACAGATGCACAGATCGCCACGCTAGCTGGAACTGTGATGGTTGCTTACGCTGTGTTTTAGGTCTCTTGTACCCGGAGACTGAGGTATGGATGGCACGAGAGAAAACAGGTGGAGTGTATTATATCAGTGATTAAATACATGTTTGGGACACGAGCAGGTGTGGCAACTCTCTTCCTATTTGAGACAGAGCTTCTGGGAGTAGAAGACTATCTGGTCTTCCCAGATTCTGGAGCAAGAAATGTTGCCAGCTCTTCCCTCTCCTGAGCCTGGGGTTGTTTCTCTGCTATTCTTCGAGCTCTTCCAGTCCCACAAATGCCAAGGCAAGATGAAACTTAAAGTTGTTTTCACCTCTAATAGGATCTGTTGCTAAAGTCTGGGGCAGCAAGATGGAATGTGGATGAAACTGAGTTTAAGGAAACTTTTTGGAGTTCAATGAACTATATTGCCTTTCCTGACCCTCGGTAATGCATACTGACAATGGACTGTCCTTAAAAAGTTGGTTTGCTTGTAAATGTGTACCTACACCTAATCCCACTGTTTAGGCAATGATAAAAACTCAATTTATTTCCCAAGGGCATAGTTTCTTTTTATCTTGAGCCATTGACAGATCAGAGGAGACGAACAGTCCAAGACAGACTTTAGAAAGTTAGAGGTACTCACTAACTGAAGGATTTCCAAGTCCCCCGAAGGCATTGCCACCAACTGCTGCAAGGCCAGTGAAGGTAGACGGCCGATTGAAAGGCTCTGCAAATGAGAGAGGGAGGAAGGACAGGATGCAGGACTCCACCGTGGGAGCAACTCGCAGAGCTCGCCGGGAGCTGGGGGAAGCCACGTGGGACCCACACCTCTCTACACTCAGCCCTGACCTGCTTCTCCTACCAGGTCATGTTTTCACTGCACTTGACATTAGGCACTGGTTAGCAAAATATTTACAGAAGCTATTTTTCTGGAACTGTGCATTTTGCCCCATTTCTCTTGCCAGGTGGGGAATAATATGCCTCAAGCCACATGTTCTAAGATGCTGCCTTAGAACAAGCCACATGTTCTAAGATGCTTCCTCTCTTCCAGGAATGTGCTGTGTGGGCTCTAATGGAACAGAAATGAGATGACATCTTACAATTAATCTATGATGCAATTCTTAAGGCTCATGGATGACACACCCTGTGAGTAGGTGCCCCATGGCCCATATCTGCTTGTACACTTGCAGAAAGTATCAAATCAAGGCCATGAACAAAGCATGCACCCTTACTAGGAAGAGACATATGAATAAGGCAGTGAAATGTGAAGTGATTAAAACATATGGGTAATGACTCATCAAAACAGGGTCTCGTCTCTGCCTCCACTTCCAAGATGTACCTGTGGACATGGGGTAAGAGTTCACAACCTTCCTCCAGTGGGTGGGGCAGGCTGCTATACACGGGGAACCCCCGAGGCACTGAGGCGTGGCTCCTACCCACCGCGCATCAGTGTCTCCAGATGGACACATCTGACTAAAGAGCACACATCTACTCCCTGAAGAAGGGGCTATCACAGGGGCCACAATCCTGAATGTGGATGACACCTCTTCAGGCTTCTACAAGGCCACTGTCTTTTTCCTAAGTGGTGAGCGAGGTGGCTAGGACTATGGCCAAGTCACTGGAAGTGCGGCAGAGGCGCAGTAAACAAAGGTTCTCTGAAAAGCACACCTCACTCCTTGTCACTGTGGGCAACTCACCTAGGTGAGCAGCAGGGTTGAGGAAGTTGCTGTGATGAGGAGGTGGCCCGAAAGGGGTCCCAGTCGGGTGTGCAGCACCTATGATGTCAAACACAACGGGTTAGATTTCCCTGGTGGCCAACTGCTACCCTGTAGCTGGCCGCTGGGTGCGGAAGAACCCTGGGGGAGAACATGTAGAGGTAAGGACGTGGCTGGAGTCCACCCAGGCAACACCGTGGGGGAGAAGAAACGTATACATTTTTTTAAGATGCTGACATACAGTATTAGAAGCATCCAAAAACACTGCCAGCGGGGTGGGGGAGGTTCTATAACCAAAAAAGTCTGGAGAAATGCCGGGTTTAAAAATGTTCAGTAACTTCTTTACTGAAGGACTAAGAGCCATGGTCACGTTCACGGGCTCACTAGCTCTAACAGGAGAGCATTTGACCACGAAGGGTTTTCTTCACAGAACTTCTCAGGGAGCAAGGCTTCCACTTGGAGCCACCCTGTAGTGCATTCTGTGACGGCCTTCTGTGACCCCTGGCTCAGGAGCAGCCGACCTATCTGCGCCGCTCTGCTTTGGGCCACCACAGAACCTCTTTTCCTGGAAATGCCTTAGTTGTCATGGCCTCACACCGAAGGACATTCTGAAGCCCAGCCTTATGAGACTGTTGTGAGGTACACAGGGTTAGGAAAGAGGAAGGACTCTGATCTCTCTCTGTCATCCTCAGGGCCAGGAGCAGCTAGTTTCCTCAGATGCTTCTGGACACTAATACTCTGAGTCTTTGCCTGCCACGAAATGGAGGTCTAACTTTGTGGTTTCTCCTTTATCCACATTTCCTCTTCTACTCTGTATTTTGCCTTGAACAGTGTGTGTTTAAGATGCTTCAGATCCTTTTCTTGAAGGAAGCTGGGGAAGGAAAGAGGGAAAGAGACACACAGAGCGTGTAGACAAGTGACTCAAGAGGGACAATATTCTAAGAGCTCAGGGCATTTGATGGACTGGTGGCCATGCAGGTGACAGCTGGAGGAGGAGAGCTTTGTGGGAGGCAGGCCTGGCTCTTGACCAGAAATGAGCCACTGTCACCTGAAGGTGCCTTTTTAGTTTATTTTGGGCATTAGTGCTCACTGGTAAGAAAAAAGTGGTTGAATTTCACAAGGGTGTGCAAATATACACATCAGCTAAAAGTTTCACCAAATAACCATTGGGGGCAAAATCCAATATTGTGTACACTGGAAAAGATCACCTTCCAGAACCGAAGTAGAAACAGGGTTTGAATGAATTTACTAATAACTATCCTATACTCCCTTGTACTTTGACTAAATTCCTATGAACAAGTGTTAAGGTCCTTCAGAAATACTGATTAAATGGAGAAGGATCATCCCTCCCCTCAAACCCCGTTGACTCAATTTGTGTTTGGACTGCTGCTTCCCAGCGTGGGAGGGCCTGCAGGTCTGGGATGTGGAGTGCGGGGGCACGTCTGTCCTCTGTCCAGCCCAGCGTGGTGACTGACTCTGTACCCAGGAAGTGCAAACATGTTACCCCATCTCCACAGAGTGAATGGGGCCCAGCATATTCATTAGGTATTAAGTGTTATCAGTTAAATAAAAATTTGGCTGCATCCTGCCTGTGTAGTACATGCTAATTAATGCTTCCATGAGGACTGGGGCTCTGCTCAGCCCAGGGTCCCCAGGGTGCCTTGCAGTTCCAGAATTATTGAAGCAAAAGAAACCAATTCATCCGCTTGGCTCAAATGGAAGCCAGGGAGAAATCTCTCTATTTCTCTCCAAAAATTGCTCTTAATGTAGCCCTGTCTCAGAGCCTAGGTGCCATGGTAACAAAGCCTTCAAATGCATCCCCAGACAGAGCTGACAGAGAAAAAACTGAGACCTTAGCAAATTCCATCTACCCTCGAGGGTGATTCACTTGCTTTGGCAACAAAGCCCATTAAAAGGATGATTTCTTGCAATGTGGGTGTTTCTCTTTTCTTGAATGGGAGAACATTAGGTCCACCACAAATGAGTCTTGGATAGAAGCCTGGGAAGGTAGCAGGCAGGATGGCTGTGAAACGTGTTCCCTAAGGATGAGAAATAGGGAGCCCCTTGGAGATTTGCGTCCAGAAGAATAAATTCTACTTGGCACAGCGAGTATTGAATTATGGAGCTGGTCAGTAAAGTGAGCTCAGTGGAGCTGTTTGTAAGCATTATCCAGCAGAGCCCTGTGCCAGGTATTGCCTGGAAGACAGCTTTGGGAATGCCCAAATAATAAGGAGCCCTTGATACTGAATCCTGTTCTCATCTACCTACTCCTTAGAGCCATTGCCTTATGTCTGCAAGTGCCCAGGGCAGAAACAGGGCATCATCTGAAGCAGTGACCCTCGGCAGCCCCCTGTCCTGCTCTGGTACACCCAGGAGCCACCCGGCAGTGGACACTCTCAGCCGTTAATGAACAAACAGCTCTTCTGGGTATTTTACACCTTGTCCCCTAAATTTCCTGCATTATTACAACCCACCAGGCAGTAATACTAATAGCACAGACAACCAGCAAACAACTGATTCACAGACCATCCCACCAGCCAATATCAAAATCATACAGTGGACCCATGAACAACGTAGGGATGAGAGGCGCCAACCCCCTGCACAGCACATAACTTTGGACTCTCCCAAAAAGCCTACTGAATGCCTTATCCATAGCATAAACAGTCAACTGACACACATTTTGTATGTTACATGTATTATATATGATATGCTTATAATAAAGTAAGCTAGAGAAAAGAAAATGTTATTAAGAAAATCCTAAGGAAGAGAAAATCCATTTGCAGTGCTGTATGTATTCACTGAAAAAAAAATCCACCTGTAAGGAGACCCACATGGCTCACACTGTGGTAAGGGCCAACTGTATTTCTTTATCTTCAGACCTTCCAAGCACAGCACGATGGAGCCTTCCGTGGGCACTGAGAGTGAAGTCCTGGCATTGTTTCCCTCCAATGTGCCCTTGCAGGCTTTCTGATCTTTTTTCAATAGCATTTGATGGGCTTGTGAGTTCTATTGGCTTAACACAGAAGCAAATAATGAGCCAAAGCAATGAGTCCCCTAAGGGGAAGATGATCTTCTTTCCTTCTTTAATGGAAAAGGGCACAGCAATGAAGGAGGCTCTATTTCCCTCACTGTGCTAAGAGGGGGCCCTGCGAGCTGGCATAAATTGTGTTTTTTAGGGAGTGATTGAGTGGTGGCCCCGAGCACAAACACAATTTATTGAACTACCTGAGAACAACATTTCTCCGCTCTCCCCTGCCCCTTGGAACTCACCAGCAGCGGAGAACAAAGTTGAAGGCCGTGCCAGGTCGTGCGGGTGGTGGATGGCTCCAAAGAGACTGGGGCCTGGAGGACGGCTCAGGAACTCGGGTTTCAGTCCGAAGTCCAGTTTATGTGGGTCTGACTGCATTTGTTTCTAAAGCAGCAAGGGGAGGGAAAAGATGACGTCCCCAGAGGAACGGCAGGAAAGAAGGACATTAATGAAGCAGCTGAGATTGAGAAAGGAGACTGGCTGGTACATGCGGCCTCCGAGTCCCGGTCACATCGCAGCTTATGAACGCCGTGAGGACACAGCAGCCCACACACCAGTTCACCCCCAATGCCAGGGAGGCAGGTCAGCCTGAGAGCGGGCAGCAGGGCCTGCACTGGGAGCACCTGTCTCTCAAGTCAGAATGCAAAGTCGCACAGTCAGTGTTCTGTCTTTGAGGTTACGTGGTTTGAGGACTAAAATCCTATCTTTATTGACTCAAACTACCACCCCTCCCAAGTAGCTGACTATTCACTGTAAAGGCCCATTTCAGCAAGTTTTTAAATGATAGTATTGTAAAGCTCATTTTATGAGGAACTCTGCACGAATAATATTCTGTGTAAATTAATTGTTTAATGACTCTTTAACATACTCTAGTAGATCACAGTACATTAGGAACTGAAAGTTATGAAGAAATATTTGCATGCCCACAAGCTAATTTTCAAATGATCACTGTTACATCTTTTAAAAAAACCAAACAAACTAAGTAGGGTTATTAATTTAACTAATAGAGGTCCTTGCTTTGCCTACTCTCCCCAATTACTGAAGAGATCAGTCTGGACCAGACAACCACCAAGAACCTCTCTGATTGCAAAATGCTTGCCATCAACTGCAATCCCTGGGTTTCCTCTTATTTCCTCTTATTCCCCTGGGTTCCTATTCGAACCTCCAGCCTCGAGCCAGCCTGGCAGCTCCCCTTCCTCTAGGGCTGTAGGAATCGGCTCCTCATCTGCTTCCTGATGCCTTATCCTGCCATCATTCTTTTTTTAAATGCAAACATCAATTTCATTTCTATACTGTAGCAATATATACTTGAAGATGAAACTTCAAAAGTTATCATTTAAAACAGCAAATTTTTTTCCATTTTTGTCAATTACAGTTACAGTCAATATTATTTTATATTAGTTTCAGGTGTACAGCATGGTGGTTAGACAATCACATACTTTACAAAGCGCTCCCCCTGATATTTCCAGTACCCATCTGGCACCATATAGTTATTACAATGTTATTAAAAAAATAACTAACTGTATTTCCTATCCAGCATCATATTTCAGGCCTGTACAGCCCTCTCAAACGGTACAATTTTAACATTGCCCCATCTTCTTGATTCTCAATAGTCCTCTCTGAATCAGCTCCATACCCCCTGGATAAGCACCAAGTCCCACTCGTTCAGGCCGGGCCCGAGGCTCCGTGTTTCCCTGCCTTCGTCACCACCTCCCCACTCTGCAGTCTCCCCTTCCTCACAGCCTTAGCCTGTTCTGACTCTCACACTTCCAATCTCTCAGACTCATCTGATGCTCAGTCCCTCTGGCTCCATCTCCACCTCACACTCCCTCATGTTCTGCTAAACATAAATCCTTGCCCCACTGTACGTTAGAGTCAACAGGCTGCCATCTGACCCAGCATGTGTGAAGATCAGAGACGAGTGTGCTATTTCCGTACTGCCGAGGGTCATGAGCCCCCTCATCCATCACACCTACTTAGAACGAAACCTACCTGAGCATCTCAAGCGGGAAGCCATCCCCCTTGGAAGCAGACAGCACGTTCACTATTTTTTATGCACGCACTGACCCTCACTACTGAACTCTACAGCTGTCTAAACCCCTGGACAGAAGGGTGCCCTCTGAGCTCGGCACAGCAAGGAGCCTCAGGCAGTAGGCTCTCTCAGTAAACATTTGGTGGGTGACTAAAAGAATGAGTAAATGGTCGTTATAGAAAAGGACAATGTATTTTCTGCTCAAATCCACAGGGAATTCTGTCATGGAAGTCCCATTATAAAGTAACAGCCAAACCCCAAGACAAAGCTTCTAATTCACTATAAATCTATGAAAATCTTTTGAATGGCTCCTTTAATTTGGTTGCCAAATTATTTAGTGCTAATACTGCATGGTACACAGCACAGTTCCATTAACCACAAGTTAGGTCCATGAAGCAAAACAGCGCTTGGGGATTACAGAGAATGTACGGGAAAGGGAAAGAACAGCCGTCTCCATGCAAGAGGTCTTCCTAACTGAACTGGGGTAATGATGGTTTGAGTCGTGGGGCATGTTCATGGACGAGAAGTTGCTGGAAGGGCACATACACACTCTGTCCATCTCTTAACCAAAGGAGTTACAGGAGGATGAGTCTCACCCCCCCTTTTTACCACCTACACCCCCTGGAACACAGAGCACCCTGAACTAAGCATCGAAATCTAGTCAGCTCTTCAAAAGTATGCACATTTTCTAATGAAGCTAAACTGTTAAGGTTTCTAACTAAACCGTGCCTAACAATAAAGTGAGCAAAACTCACTGATAGGATGTTAGGAGAAAGAGCAGGCATTTGACACCAAAGCAAGTTTATCTTGGCGGCCTCACTTACTGAAGCTGGCTTTTAAAAAATCATTTAACCATTTAAACAAACAAACAAATAAATGAAGATTGCTGTAGGGACTGGCTCTCTGTCTGTGTTTATCACTTTCATAATTCTCATATTGGCTCCCAAATGCTGTTAGGACTTAAAGCTTATTATTTGAAAAATGGATTAACTGAAGCCTATTGGAATCACTGGATCGACTGTTTCCCCCCATTTTTCTAGGCACAGTTACCCAGACTATAAACATGCAGACTGTCAATTCTGGACTTGTTACTTTGCTCTCTAGGCTGACCAGTGTTGCCACTTCTGGTCACCTGCAGAAGTCCCTGACCACTTCCCTTCTGTATCTCAACAGCCTGGCAAAGCGTGCACTGCATTCACTGTGGAATGAAAATATGTAAAAAAGAAAAATCACCTGCAGACAGGTAAGGTAACTGGCCAGACGGTGGTTCTGACAAGAACTGACTATATTCTCACTTCTGGCGCGGGTCATCAGGGGGACTAATGTGGGGTGGGAAGGTCACTGCAAACAACATACTACTTCTAGAAGAGTCATTTTCACTACCATATGCATTGCTAACGGAAGTTCTGTAGCATCATATAGATCTTATATTACTAGCTCATTTTTCCAGAGCCATGAAATGAAAAGAATGCACCCACTGGTACAGGAAAACCAGCTTTCACGGGCAGGCCTTCCCGCTTGGCCCCGCCTGCCTCAGGCCCTCCAGTTCTGCTGTCAGTCCGTCTCCTGCACGATAAAGTCAGCAAGGAGGCACCTGGCCTACAAATCTCCCCAAAACGTTTATGTTAGGAGTTAGTCTACCTGTGTTTTGCTGTGTATAATGTGCACTTTTTTGCCCAAATTTTTGAGGGGAAAGAAGGGTGCACATTATACACGGGCAGTGCCTGAAATACCCTGTGTCTTTCTTTTGTGTTTTGTAATTATTTGTTACATAAAATTTCTTATACCATAGAAAGTTTAAAAATGAATGCTAAAATTCCTTTATATTACAAAAACAAGCATCTGAATATAAACAAATAATTAAATTAAAAAATTAAAATGAAAATTCTTTTCCTGAAAGTGTGGGTCAAAGACAGGAGTGTGCATTATACACAGGAGCACAGCATACGGGGCAAAATGCAGTATATTTAAACTCTTCAGATCAATAAGATGACAAAAATAATTTTTTTTAAGAAAAAAATCATCAGAGTTATCAGTTTGCTTTTGTTTCGTCCCTTTGCTGGCGGTTTCCCTAATTGACAGTAAGATTTCCAAATAGCTTTTCCAAGAGAGACTTGATCCTTGGCAGGGAGGCCGCTGGCCCAGGAGCCCAGGAGCCCAGGTGCCCCACCCCCAAGGCCAGGAAGGCAAGACTGACCTTGACTTTCTGTTGGTGATGGTAGATCTGCCAGGCGATGTGAACATGCATAGCACACCACTTCCCTGGTTTCTGAAACAAGAAATAGCAGTGCGGTCAGAAGGAAGACCTTTCAGAGAAAACCGCCTTCAATGTCCCCAAAGCCTTCAGCAGATTTTGGCTACAGAGCCTTTTTTCTTTCTTTTTTTTCTTGTTCAAGAAACAAGAGTGCTTTGTACACTCCAAGTGCCTGCTGTCAGCAGCTCTCCGGCACCCAGGCCCGAAGGAGCCAGTCAGCGCCTCATCCTCCCAGGGGCGCTGAGCTGGCAGCTATTCCTCAGAGAACCGCGCTGACAAGGACCTCCCTGGTCACCAATGATAGGACAGCAAAATCCCGAAGCCCACGTTGTATCTCTTCTCTATTTCTTTTCTGGTGCCAGCTGGCAGACCGGGGAGAGCTCGGAGCCCTACTTAACAAATGTGGCCATGCTATGATGCAAATGAGCTGTTCAGAGGAGCTAATTAGTGAATGTCTGTGCATCAGTTTAAAACAAGAGAGGGTCCCAAACCTGTGTAACCTCCTCCAGCACTGGCTTTTCTTTACCCTCAAAGCAAGGCAAAGAAATTCACCACACTTTTACTGAAGCCCAGTTCCTGTAAGTGCTTCCTGGAGTTGCCAACTACCCATTCATGTGCACAGGCACTGCTGTCTTCTACGTAAACCAGGGAAAGAAACAAAGGCGAGAACTCAGTCCTTCCTACTTTCTAGACCTCCTCTGCCCTCTGGGACTGTATCAAGCCATGTCTCCCACACCATTTCAGGGCCTGCTTTACAAGCCTGGAGTCACTGTGGGTGTGCTCTGTCTCACCACATGGAGGGTGGGGACCACCTGTCCCTGCCTCGTTTGTAATGTGATCTACCCAGAGGCTCCCCACGTGCACTCCGTGAGGAGAGGATGGGTGAGAGGAAACGATGCCCCAATCCTATGTGGGCTAAGGACAGACACCTCTGGTGTCTATGCGAAACAGCTGATTCTGAAATACATACTTAAATCCAAGTCTGGGGTCGTTTTTCTTCTTTTGTAATGAAATTATTTGCATCATTTGAAATCATAAGTGATGACACAATTATCTTCTTTTACTTTTGGAAAAATTGAATTATATTACTTTACACACCAGAAATGGGTTAAGTATAGCAGGAAGTATACTATCTATCCCTCTTCTGTCCAACTACCCACCTTCTCTCCCGCCCCAACCAACCAAGTTGGCCAGCTTTTACACAGAGGTCATCTGCTGGCCACTCTCCAGACTCCAAAGATGTTAACACACTGAGGCTGTTCTGCACCAGAGAAGCAGGTTGAATGTCTGTGACAAGTGAACATCACTTACTGCAGAGTGAGAGAGCCTCCAGCCAAAATGAGCGGACCCTGATGTGTGTATTTTCTAGGTGCAAGAGAGACGGCAGAACTTCTGATGTTAGCCTATAGCTTAATTCTTTCTCTGTAGGTTCCCACTCGTCAAACCTCTTACCAGACCTGCTAACCTGAGACTCTGACTCAGTTGACTCTTATCTGTCAGTTTTACCTGCATGGCCTGGCTTCCTGGAACACCAAAGCGAACACAATTCAGGCCGTTCCAACCACACTACCTGAGAAGCCCACCCCCAGGAAAGTGTCATCCTAACACTTCCTTCCAACATTTCCATGGCTTGGCTCCTCAGAACGGATTTGTCTTTTTAACCTACAGGGAGTCACACAGAGGTTGCAAAAACAGTTCTAGAAGAAGCTTTCTTACCCTTAACATAGGTCTGAAAGGATCTGTCAACTGTGAAGAGAAAATGACAACTTGGTTACATGCCTGTCACTCAAACAATTGCTCTAATTAACAAATTTGTAGTGCTTCATTAGGAGGGGAAATTAAAATGTTAGAATTTTACTTTTAAATGAAGCCCTTTTAGAGAATAATTAACCCATTTTCACACTATCAAAAGTGCCAAATGTCCCCTCCCCCACTTCACAGGGCTTGGTGCATCCACACTGACAAGCCCCCTGAACAAGTTCAATCAGCAGCAATTTGCCCTTTGGCAACATCATCTGCTCCCACTACACATCTGAGGAGTTTCCCTGTCCCGAGGAGCAGCCCGTCCGCACTGCACAGAGCGGGACTCAGGGAGAGTGGCGTCAGGCCATGGGCGTGGGAGGCTGGGTGCTGACGGGCACCTGGGGCCAGGCGCCCTCCTGGGCACATGGCAGAACCAGGCTCTCTCCACCAATGCCCTCAGTTCAAGGGCTGCACGTTACCAAGAGGTCTGAGACATTTTAAAGGAGTTCACTAAACGTCATAAAAATACTTACATAGTTGAGTAATTTTAAATTTCTACCTAACTCTGGTCATCAATTTCTGACTGCCCTTACCCAGGGAAAAAGACAATATTGTAAAAGTAATCATTTTTCACATTTACTACAATGAATGTAAATATCAAAGAAACAAGATTACATATATCGTATACCTTTAAATTCCTTGTTGAGAGTAGACAGAGGTGTACATTATGAGTAAACAACATAACCACAGCATAATGGATGTTGTGTTTTGCTCCGGAGCACAAAAGAAGTGGAGGGCCAGGAGAGCAGGGTACTACAGTGACTTCCTGACCCCTGGGAAGCAGGGCATGTGTCCTGACTTCCAGGGAAAAAAATGCTCAGTGCTTTTCCATTCAAAACATTTTACAGCTATTTCTTTAAACTTAAGGAAATACAGGCTGAGAAGACTGGTTGAATAGTAACTGTACAAGCTCACAGGGCGGAATCTCCGATCTTGGACGGTAAGCCCCTGCTCTGTCCTCCCTGCAGCATACTGCGGCCAAGGCCGAGCAGGAGAGATTTTACTCTCTAAGAGTAACTGGCATTTTCTCCCGCAAACGAGAAGGAACAGCTACACTCAGATGAGCTACAGAAGGTGAGAGCACTGATTGGCCGATCCCTGCAAACCACCCCAGTGTTACCTGAGGCCAAGCCTGACTTCGTACGTACCCTCGGGTCCTTCTGGAGTAGAGTGTGTGGGACTGTCCCAGGTCGAGCAGCGACATCGATGGGGTTGGAGGTCTATGAATTAACCAGACCACGACTTAGGAAGCACGCAACATGCGTCCCGAAAGCAAGATCTTTCTTTCACTCCAAATTACAGAAGTCAAGTGTTGTTTTCCTTTTTCAATGACAGTTTGCATTCAGTAATATTTTGTATAATTTCAGGCATACAGCATAGTGGTTAGACAATCATATACTTTACAAAGTGATTTGCCCCGATAATTCCAGCATTCCAGACCCACCGGGCCCCATACACAGTCATCAGAATATTACTGATGACATCGCCCACTTGGTACTTCACATCCCTGTGACTATTTTGTGACGACCAACTTGTACTTCTCAACTTGTACTTCACCTTTTTCACGCTGCCCCCAATTTTTTTTTCAGTTGGAATACAAGGGTTAACAGACTCATTTAAATCCATGATCAGGACCTGCACCCTATTCTCTGACGGGGCCCAGCCGGAGACCGCCCTCTCCAGCCACAGCATCTAGGCACAGAGCGGCCACACTCCGCTGTGATAAAAGGCATGGGACCAAAGAGAGAACCAGCAATTGGAAGAGCTGCCCCGACACCCATCTTCTGCCAAGTTACTGACAGCCCTGTCATCGTGCTTTTTGCTTTATCACCAAACATTCCAAGAAATGCTTAAGCGAACATCATCATAATTTGCTCTATCAGGTGCTCCTCATCAGAATGACTGGAAGTGTTTTACAGACATTAAGCTTACTCTCTAAATTTTAACTGGCAGACAATAACAAGGAATTACACTCAGTAATTACTCATTAGCAGTGGTGGAAACAGGACAAGAGAACCTAATTTAGGGACCACGCAGACTTACATTAAATGATTTCTAAAGTAATTCTGCTTCATCTTTCCTGTTCCCACACCATTCTTCAAGCTCATCAATAACTCTAACCTTATCTGTAGGCTTTTGTCCTTTGAATTGACAGCGATGGCAACAAAAAGCTTACTTCTAGCACAAGCAGCCGCTACTTTCTAGTGGGTAAAAGATTTGGAAAATTTTTCCCCAGGTATTTTATTTAAATAATCACAAGCTCTAAGAATCCCTTCACACAGGGAAGTTAACCTGTGGGGGAAAAGAGCTCAGGTTCAGGCACAAAGCCCACAGGGAGAAGGAAAAAAGAAAGAAAAGAAAGGAAAGCAATCAGCGGCTGCACAACCAACAATTAAGCTGGAGTGTTAACAGGCTGATTTGCATACATATGAAGAACTCCACTAATGAACTGCAATCTGCATATTCAATCAGTAACGTGGCCTGGAAAGGCCTATTTCAACTCCAGGAGAGACACTTTCTTGCCCAGATGTAGTTTTCTGTGTGATTGGATAATTGTGAGTGAGGGAAATAGTCTAATTTATTAAATGACCTACCAGTCTGTTTGGGGACGCACGAGAGATTTGTTGCAGCCGAGAGGGGACAGACCAGGGTCCGAGGGAGTACAGTAACGAGCAGATGGGGGGGAAAGAGTTTCAAAATCACCATCATTTTATCCTAAGATGGGAGGTGTTTAGCATGGCCATTGGAGAAGCCCTGGGTATACATAACCTGGTTTATAAGCTGCAATCCTGTGCAGGTAAAATGTGATTTCTAAGGTCTGGCCATCCAACCCCTAATGCTTTTTAATTTCTTCTCCGATTTCTAGTATTAAAGCAACATGTCTTTAGAAATGCACTCTGTGCTTATCCTATGGCACTCTGGCCCAAAAGTGGGCCCAGTTTTGTCTAAGAAATGAGATGGGGGAAAAAATAAACAACCAAAAATTATACATAGCAAGATTTTCCACGTTAAGATTCGAGAATGGTTCCTTACAACAGAAGTACATGTTGCTTTTCTGCATGAAAATAAAGTAGAGGCAGTAGCAGCTTTAAAGTCACAAAAAGAGTTCTGAGAATTCCTCCTCAATACTGGCTCTCAGTAGCACACCACTGACTAGGGAGAAAAGCACAGTTATTATAAAGGGAAATGGTAATCTCACACTAGGATGTCGGTAAGTGATGACAGAGCCTTGACCTTGGCAGGTGTGAAGGTGCAGATGAGGGGTGGGAGGACCGAGAGGGGGCAGAGAACAGTCCAGGAAGGGAGGTGCGTGCCCTCCACCGCCAGGTGGACCCTATTTGCAGACAGATGGGGCCAAGGGGCAGATGAGGGAGAATAAACGGAGCACCTTCCCTTTCTGTAGTTAAAAACATACAATTTTAGTTTGAAACCTTTTTCCTCCCTTCTGTTAAAATCAATAAAGGCTCACCTTTGTATCTTTGCTAATAATACATACCTCAGGGACAACCTGTGCTCATGTATCTGACATTTGATAGAGTTCCTGACCATAGGCTTGTGTCCACAATACTGGTGTGAGACATATACATATATTCTGAAATTTTTTAAAGAGCACAGAAAATCCTGGATCGACTGACATTATATGGATAGTACAAATTGAAAATTAAATTTGGCTGAAGTTTAAAATGAAAGGGACTTAAAAAATATTCTCGCTGGAATCCGATGATCACTTTGGATCAGAAAAATTATAGGTGAGACAATGAGGAACCCACCCACATGCTTAGCCTGAGGCTCTTTGTACCAACACGCCCCTGTGTGTCCACTGTAAGGTTCTTACCTTCGGCTGAAATGCTCCTTGTAGTGAACCGAAAGGGCCAGTGGGTGGAATCATAGGGGGAATGCCCGAGACTGCAGGAGGGTAGGAATGGAAGAGCTGCGGCCAAAGATGGAGAGGGAGAAAAAGCTTTTAGCAGGAGGCAAATGATATACTCCAATTCCCTTCCCACAGAAGGACATCAACATTAGCAAGCCAAGTAATCTCAGTTCGATGCTATTAGTCAAGAAGCCATGATGAAATGATCACACAGATGTGCCATGAATACTTAACTCGGAAACTTAAAAGTAGTTCAGAATCAATCAGCCAACAAATGACGTCCCAGATGAGGACATCATTAGAAAGGGAGCTTTTCTAATTATTAATTGTTAAATCGGATACCAGTCCTAAACGGTGGGAGATTTTAATGCATATCAAAAACAGGAGGGGTGCTGAGCCGAATAAGATGCCCAGAAAATTACAAGTTAATTAGAAAAAGAAAAAAGAAAGAGAAAAAGAAGGAAGTAAAAGAAGCAAGTCTTTATGAGTTCCAGGATTTTATATCATTAAAACTCAATTAGTACTTTTAGATTTTTAATAGTTTAAGGAAATGAGAAAATATTCACAATCCTTGCTTCATTAGGTTGTTCTAGAAGTGGCAGTTCCAGAGAACAGTTTAATTGTCTCATCTAAAATGACAAATATTTGTGGAAGGGTAAAATAAAAGGACTCACTATAGATTTTCAGGGGAGCTGCCCACTTTTCTGTTAGATGGACAAGCTCACTGGAGGCTCCTCAAGCCAAGCCCTGACCTGAAGCCACTCAGTGAAGGGACAAGAATGATTCTGAATTAAGTACGTAAATTGTCTTGGACTACTAGTTTACTGACAACACAGTGGAGGAAAGAAATACATGGCAACAGCGAAGACAATGGAAACACATCTCTCCCTCCTCCTAGAAACACAGTATTTTTGAGATTCTACTGCTCTGGTTCCTCCTCTGATCAAACCACCATACAGATATTTCAATAGGGTCCTGCCCATACGATTGATTGTGTGATATGTCAGAAGTACGACAGTAACTCAAGCTTTTCCTAATATGGCATTTATGTTATTAGCTGTCTCTAGGGTATGACTGACACCCCACATTTTACAATCCTGCCTGTGTTCAGAGCACGTTTGTTTTTTTTAGAGCATATTCTTATTCTGTTGGTTTTTTATTTCATTTTGCTCCCTTCAATGATGCAGCAAAGTTTTTCAGACTAATTGATATTGAACTAAATCCACTTAAACAGTGATTGCAAGCCAAGTGCCCTCATTGAAAACTATGTTTAAGTCTAAAATTGTGTTTTAGATACTTGAGTGCATTGCATCTTAATTCCCCTTATAACGTCCTAATCCCCCAAGTGGGGACGACTAAGTACTTTACATATTATCCACTATAACTAATAATACGAAATAACTCTCCCACAGTACACTGTATGAAGCAGAGTAATTAAATACATGCCACACTAAAACACACTCAAATTTCTATTACTCTGCCTCCAGGTGGGTATTTTTACTTTAATGTTTTCAATAAAAAACTGCTGTTCTCACCATTTTCCTTTTGCCTGATTCTGTTACTGACCCTCTTAGAATATGGTTAACTATACCCCCACCTTGATTAAAAATCTGAAGTACCTAAGCAATAAAGCATAAACCTTCCAAAAGATCAACTCTGCCATCCCCTCCACCGCACGGCCCCAGGCTTTCTTTTTCTGTCCATCTTCTTGTCCTAGGAAGTAAATCTGAGTCACCTGCTCAGTACACTAAACTTTCTCCAAGATGACTTTGTTAGCTAGCTGGTCCTTAAATCAGTAAGACATTGACAAAGGGCAGAGATCTGGTGTTTATTAAGATGGCTTCATTCATGGGACAGGCCCAAAGAGGAAACCCACGGGCCTGCTGGATTTTCATGTCTATTTAAAATGCTTTTGTCGCACGGTACCCACCGAGTACACAGTGGGCACCTTGAGACAAAATGACGTCCCAGACGACACTGGCACAGTGGCGTGGGGGTGTGGGCACTTCAACTCACTTTCCCCTCCCCTTTCTGAAGAGGCCTTCCTCATGTTATTTCTGAATGTCTCTAGACTAATTTCTCATTGTTTTCTAGTATTTTCTAGTCTTGACTTCTCAGCTACACTCAGGACTACAACAGTGTTTAATTATTTGGTTCTAAGTATGAATGAATTCACAGCACTTGGATGATCTATTGAGCAGCACTCAAACAATAAAACTATCCAAAAATCAAAGCAAGAACAGTTAAGGATGGTGAATCAACATGGCTACAAGCAATTAATAACCTTCCTTCTTCCTGGTTTCATTTAAAAAACACAAATAAACCACTGAGCAAATAAACTTGCAAAACTCAGGGTAAACATGATGCAGTATTCACCCCATAATCAAAATATCGTGATAAGGTGTTCGAGGTCCTTGTACACAGAGAAGTAAGTATAAGTAACTGAACATTACATTTAGGTTCTATAAGTAACTGTTTTAAGAGTACCAAACTCTTAAAATTGTGTAAAACAAATATTCTTTTTAATACAGAAGAATGGCTTTAAAGACAAAAAAATCATAATTTCAATTTTAAGACCCTTTTTTATTTAAGTATCTTTAGATTTATTCAATTGTAACAAGCTCAGGAAAACACCAGCAGCCAGGTGCAAGAGGGTTCTGCATTTAGTCTAAAATCCTGCTTTGTGAAGAACCGTAAGTGCAAAAAAGAATTTCTGTTTGGAGGAAATAATTCAAGTGGAATTCCAGGAATTCTGTGAACATGATTATTTCAACTGATGACTGAAATCCTGTGATTTCAGACTCTCCTGAAATTATAGCGATTCGATGGCAGATGCTCCCTTGTCAGGACACCTGGCTTCCAGTGAAGCTCAACTTTGCTTTCAAGTCTTAGGATTCCAAGTCTTACGATCTTTTGATTCCAAAGATGATACTGCATCTTTACCCAAAAGCAAACGTCACAAAAGCAAGCATCCAAAGTGTCGAGGAGCAATGGGAGTTCTTGCAAAGATGATTAAAGAAAGCTGCTAGTCATTTACTGATTTGTGGTGAGCACAAAAAATGGAAAGCAGTTACATTGAATGCGTAGCATGGTAATAAGACTCACACTGTGCCGGTAGAATGGGTCAACTTTTGTAGGGTATTTGTCAAACTGTAAAGGGATCAAAGCAAAAGCTAGTTACTTAAAGGATCTGCATTAGTGTTTACTGCGTCAGTGGAGGCTGCCCTAAGCAAGCGTCTGGTCATAATGTTGTCATCAGACTCCACAACCTCATCGTACATGAAACCATTCTGAGCTCCTGAGTCACTCTGTTTTTCCCTGTTGTTGGTTTCTCGTCAAAGTGAAAACCCAGAGGATGCCCTTAGGTCCTGGCTGCACTATTGTGTCTCTTTCTACTCAGTGTTCAGAGACTGGCACAAACCAAACATCTGACCTGGGGAAAAGAGGTAATTATTGAGACAAATCAGAGAGAAGTCAGCACTTGGTCTGACAGAGAATTCTCTCCATTTTCATCTTCACCTTGGCAGAAGAATTGAACATTCAGCTGTCTTCCCAAATGTATTACACACAAACATAAAGCAATTTGGACTAGGTCTTCTAACCTTTCTTTTAAGCAGAAAAGAGTATATAGCACTGTTTCCTCTAAATCATGTCATTGTCGGGTGCCACGACTCCCCTCTGTTCAGCGTAAGCATTTATGAAACACCTTGCCCAGGCTGTGGCATAAACTCTTTCCCAACATAACAGACCCTTAAAAATGTAACTTTTGAGAGGTCTAGTCCCTCCAGAGAAAGAGAGAAGGATCTACTACAAGAAATAATTTTGGTCCCAAAGCCTCATCTAAAATCTTCTAAGTAAAATTTATAAAATAAACTTTAAAATATACATTTTGAAAAACTAAATTGAGCCCTGGCTGGTGTGGCTCAGTGGATTGAGTGCTGGCCTGGGAACCAAAGGGTCGCCAGTTTGATTCTCAGTCAGGGCACATGCCTGGGTTAGTAGGGGCCAGGTCCCCTGTAGGGGGAGCTCAAGAGGCAACCGGACCACACATTGATGTTTCTCTCTCTCCCTTCCTTCTCTTTCTAAAAGTAAATAAACACAATCTTTCAAAAAAGAAAAGATAAATAAAGTTTTTAAAAATGGAGGAGAGCAGGGGAAGAGAGGAAACACAGTTTGGTAAAGGGAATGTGTCTTACAATCACAGAATTGACATCTTTTCTCACAGTGCCTAGAGTAATTGCCTTGAGATCAACTATTTAATATTTTAAAAAGTTAAGTAAACCACTTCTATACTCACTGTGATGGACAGGGCCCCATTTCACGATGTTTAGCATCCTCATAGAGCGCTACTCATTACAGACCCTAAGTTACATAAAAACGCCCTAACTGGTTCTCCCAGCATGTCCTAGACCCCTGTCAAGACCAAGAACACGGTCACTGCCAGTGGTATCTCTTACCACAGGCTGAGTTCTGTCGCTGCAGGGCACGTGGCTCCCTGACCGCCTGCTGACAGCACAATACCAGACTGGCACCGCCTTATGGGATACAAGAAATTAACACCCCCAGCATCTGAAAGGGCAGGCACCCCACGCAGTCCACGTCTCCTGACTGCTCTCTCCCCTCTTTAGCCTCCTCCTGACATTTTTTTTCGTTAGCACTTGGTGCAAAGCACTAACAGAGCGATTTTCCTATCTGGTGGCAAGCCTCTAGCTTTCTTTGTTCAAGAAAACAAAATTACCCTCTAAGTCAAGTTAACTGCCAACATTGGATGTGACCACTTTGAGGGCATCTAGGATGTTCAGATAAAATGCACCCACAGTGCTACATGTAACTCTAGAAAAAAGTTCCTACTTCAGGCCCAGGGTCAGTGCTGGCTGGAGCAGACACAAGCCCTTCTTTCCAGCAAAGAGGGACAAGGGAGCCCCCTAGACAACGATCACGCCCCTCTCATCTCCTGCCCCTGGCAGCCCACTCCAACCCCACCGTGCTGCATAAAAGAGTCGTGCTCTACTTATCCTCACATTTCTGCCTGGGGTACGCACCATGGGAGGTGCTGGCGTCGGCATGATGGCGGTGGGCGGGATGGCGTGGGGGAAGGGCGTGAAGGTGTGCTGGTGCGTGTGCTGGTGCGTGTGCTGATGCTGGTGCTGGTGCTGGTGGAACTCGGTCCGCAGGTAGGGCGGGGGGCCCAGGGAAGCCCCGCGGTCAGCACTCTGAGAGGCCAGGAAACGTGTGTTCAGTTCCTGTCGCAGGATGTCTTGCTCTGGAGAAGAAGGAAGGGGACAGCATGATGCTTTTTCTTGTAACAGCAATTTTCTTCAGAACAGGACATCCAAACACTGTACTAAGGGAGGCGTCAGGACTGAGGTCACGGGACATGAGGCTTTACAGGGACAACCAACTCAGCTGACAATGATCAGAACATCAAATTAGACGGAGTGGTCTAATTTTCCTGCCCTCTGTCACTTGGCTCTGAGAGACAGGGCGGTCAGTGTGGTGTGCTGACGGACTCCAGGCCCATGTCTGAGGCCAGTTTTCCGCTCTGTTCCTGCCAGCTGGGTGACCCTGGGTGTGGCCGACCACCCCTCTGTGTCATCTATCTGTCACATAGGGACACTGCTGCCTACCGCAGGGGTTCATCTTGAGGGTTAAAGGAATTAACATCTGTACATGCTGGAGAACAGTGACCGGCATGCTAATTCACAAGGGCCAGCTGTTCATGTGGCAGAGCGCTCTGCCCCCTTCCAGGGCAAATCTCCGCCTTGCTGCTCTCTGACTGAGCGGGACGACGCAGCTGTGATGGACCCGAAACTGGGACACCTGCTCTGACTGATAAATCAGGTGAAGAGAAAAGGACCCACAGTCTCACACTAGGTCTGTCCTTAAAACTCTGGGATGCATGGCTACCACAAGTGCACCTGCCCCTCTCCACAAAGACACTAAAAGGCCCTGTTCACCTGAAAGAAACCCTTCAAACCAGGGTGCAATGCAAGAGCTGGGAGTGAACCAGACACAGCCTGGGAAAGTGTCTGCTGCTCCAAGTGGAAGCCCAGGCAACAGGACGCACATGACCCCCGCTTTACCGCCTTATCAGTGGTGAACCCTGTGGTAACAGCCTCATGGCTTCAGACAGACCAGTCCTCTCAGCAGTGGCCCATGCGCTGGGCCTGTGCTGGGCTGCTGCGGGCGCTGGAACATGTTTTTGCTGAACCTCAGCTCACAGAAGACTGATTACAAGGTTGCACCCAACGAAGCAGAAAATCTTAAATACAGGAAGTCCAGCAGTCGGGGGACAACCGAGACAGGTGGCGAGGCCACCAGCAAGGCAGAGTGGGAGCTCAGGTGAGCAAGGCCATTTCTCCCGTCCTACCTGAGTAAGTGCTCCCGGCTGGGTGTCCGGGGACCTGCAGACTCCCTGATGTCAGTGGTGGTGGAGGAGGCAGAGCAGTGGGAGGGGCAAACATATTGGGGTGATGGGAGTGTGCGGGGGGCTGGAGGGTGGGCGTGAAGCTGTGCAGTGGGCTGTGGTTGGGCAGTGAAAGGGGGAACGGGGAGGCTGACGGGTGGTGGGAGATGTGTGGAGGGGCCGGCTGGGTCTTCGCTGGGGTGCTGCTTCTGCTGCTGCTGTTGGAGAAAGAGAGGAAGGAAGGAAGAACAGGAGAGGGGGTGGGAGGAGGGAGGGAGGGAGGAACAAAGGAAAAAAGAAAGGTATCCAATTAATTTTCTGAAAACAAACGAACAAACAAACAAACAAACGAAGACCCTATCTCCCTGCTCAAAGCCATTCTGGAAACGCCTTTTCTCTGGCTCTTCCTCTTCACAGACCCTCCCCTGTGCACGCAGGGAGCCTCTCCTGAGCTCTCACCTCCTCCACACTTGCTGCCACTACTGCAGACACAGCGGATGGCAAGTGCGGCTCCAGAGCCACCACACACCTGTGTCCAGACAGCTGGTTCTCATCTCTGCCCACAGAGAGACCCTACCTTCCCATCTTCCACCAGCCATGTTTCCTAAAAGCAATACAAGTAAAACAGGGGGAGGAGAGCGAGGACTTGAGTTCCAGTGCACCCTGTCTGCCCGCTGCCTGGGAATGAAGACCCACAGAGAAGAGATGAACCCGGGAGCTCAGGTGCCCTGTCACCCCTTCTCTCTGGAGGCCGCCACAATGGCCCTGGGGCAGAAGACAGGCCTGGCCCGCTGATGAAGGAGCAGCCTCCTCACCCTGCTGGTTTCCTCACCTGTCACAGACAGGAAAACCCAAGTCCCTGCCCGAGCCACCAGTCAGGCCGAGGCAGGGAGACAACAGCCAAGGCACGAAGCCCCACGAGGCAGGAGGTGTACCAAGTACGGCCCCCTTTTCTCTGCAGCTCTCCTTCGCGCTACTTTTTGAACTTTCCTTTGTAATTTGGCAAAACAAGACAGACGAGGGCCTGGATCTCTCCTTGTAGGAAATCCTCTCTTTCTTGACACCCAGCTTGTTTCTTCTCTACCTCTCCAACCCGCCTTGGAGGAAGTACATCTCAATGAAAAAACTTTAACCAGAATACTCCGTGGCCCCAATCTTCCTGCCTCTGGACTTAGAGATGTAGCTTCTTCAAAACATCCTCCCTGAGGCCAAGAGCCTCCCTTCTAAGGCTTTCTTAATGCTCAGTGACCTCTATGGACCTTAGGGTTTTGATTCCGTGACTCACCAATGCGGGGCAGCGGCGGGCTCCAGGGCTCAGCACCCTCAGCTCTGTTTCTCAGGCGTTCTTCTCTTTCCTGCCTTCACCCCTCAGCAGTCTCTAGGTATTTTAGTTCTCTGCAGTGTCCTCTCTGCTCAACCCACCCAACCTGCCCTCTCCCCGGAGACCTGAGTGTCACTGGGCTGTCCTTTTCAGTCTCTACTTCAGAGAGAACACAGTGACAAAGTTTTCAGCAAGGCAACTCTGGTCTCCTTGGGAACCCTTACCCACTTACTACTTGCCCATCCCAGAGAAGACGCCCGGCAAAAGTCAGGCAAAAACAGAGCAGGCTGGCTCACCTTAAACTGTTGAGGCTTAAGCTGCTGCTGTTGTAGGCTGACAGCGGCTGCGAGAGGCTCTGAGATGAGGGCGGGGCCTGCACGGGTGGGAGGCTCTGGTGGAGCAGCTGGCTGGGGGACTGTGGCCGCGGTGGCCTCTGCACCTGAGGCTTGGGCGCCGGCTGAAGCTGGGCCTCTGGGGGGCCCTGTGGCGGCTGTGTGCTTGGACGTGGGGGCTGAGGCGGGGCCTCTGTGCGCTGCACCAAGTCAGGGTCTGGAGAAGGAGCTCGGGGCTGGGGCTCCACCTGGGGCTGGGGTAGCAGCTGCGGGACCTGAGGGCAGGGGTCTTTAAGCACCACGGGCTCAAAAATCGGCTCTTTGCCACAGTCCTGGCTCTTCTCCTGGCTTCTCTCTAGACCAGATATCTTGGGGACAATCGGCCCTGCATCCTGGCTGTCATGTTCGGGCAGCGTGCCAACACCTAACTCCGAATCTGCAGGGGGGAGAGCAAAGACAAAAACGACAGACCGTGGTTGATAAGTGAGCGTGAAACAGGAGGGGAATGCAAACTCCAAGACCAGGGCAGACGGCCCCAGAGACTCGGCGGAGTCCAAGCTTCCTGCCTGGCCTCCCCCACCTGCGGAGCCAGGGAAGATGGGGGAGCAGCCTTTACCCCTGAGGCAGCCACGCCCTTATGGGGAGCAATGGGAACCGGCCCTGGAGGCTGCATTCCAGAAAGCAGTCTAGGCCGTCCAGAGTCTGAGAATAAATGTTTTCCCTCATCTTGAGAAAGCCTCTCATGAAGCAACATTATAAACACTAGCCCACAGTTGATTTTTCCCTTTTAAAAACAAATAAGCTCTTGAATATACAAAAGACAGCCGCTTTCCACAGCAAACGAAGCAAGTGTTATTTAACCATACACAGATGCTTCTTCTTGGCCTGGCCTACCTCCCCCCTTTCCATTTTGACAGATGAGACACATTTGACATTTAGAGAAATAATTTTTGTTTAGCCAAGTGCCAGACTTCCGGTCAAGCATCAAGCCTTTTGACACTTACCAAATGACCCCAGCATGTCTGAGGTCAAAAGTGCCAACATGAATTTAAACCAAATTTGCTGTCAACTCCACATGCTAGAGCATTCAAGGGACGCCACAGACCATGCCAGGGGTCCTCACTCACGTGAGGACAAGAGGTGCAATGCTGGACATTGAGACTATGCCTGGATGTAATAATTAAGTAAAATTCTACAATCATGCAAGGAACTTGGAAAACAGATGCTCCTGTATGAATTGAAAAGACACGTGTACCACCGACAGTCAGCATGATCTAGACCACATCTAGTGCGGTGCTTAGCTGGTCACCTCAGAGTCAAATTCCATGAAATCCTCTAACAGAATAATTTAAGACCATATGGCATTAAATATTTAAAAATGGCCCTATTCATATTAAGTACTTCTGTATACACCTGGAGGAAAAATCACCTCTCCCACATTTTTGTACAAAAAGACCCATCCTTTTATTACTACACAACTTATAAAGAGGAAGAACATAGACCCCACTGTTCTCTGAAAGGCGGGTATGTTTCAGCCACCTCCTGAACGAACTTCGGGCACGAGCTTTCTCTTCCCGTCTCGCTGCACCGAGTGTGAAGAACACAAAATGTCCTCACTGGCCCCCTACAATTCTGTTGAGGTTTCACATGTAAACGCTTCTCATTTTTCTTCCCTAGAATGTGCCTCAGAGCAATCCATTACTTCCAATGTTCTTTTGGTAAAATATCTAACCTACAGCATGCACAAACGCAGAACAAACTGTGGGTTTACAAACGAAGTGCGTTTTTGGCCAGTTTGAACTTGGCTGACCCCACATCCCACCGAGCAGCCTGGGACACACGCACTAACACGGTGTGAAAGGACGAAGCACCCAACAGGGGCCTGGCAGAAAGTACATTGGACTTCTGACATCCTGCTCACACACGCTCCATCCAGTGCTGCCTAGAGAAGCTTTGCAGGGAGATTTTTACTTGTGATAAGCTGAAATTTTATGAATTCCAAAAACCTTCATTTCCGACTTGAGAGCTGAGAGAGAACAGCCCTGTGTGGACAGACCCCACATGAGCAGAAGAGGAGCTCTTCTTCGGTCAGAAATGAAGACCCTCGGCCTGCAGACGCCTGCTTCCGGGGGGCTGGCTCTGCTTCTGTGTGTGTGTGTTTCCCTATCATTTGTAAAAGATCTTCCACAGCAGGTAGTTACATGAGCCACCCCAAATCACAAGCTGCCTACATTGCAGGCTGGTTAGTTAGGTCTGGGGCAGAAAACCTAACATTACAAAATACAAGAGATTATCCATTTTCCTCAATGACAAATACTATGTGCAAATACTATTCTGACAGCTAAAATGTAGAATCATTATGTCTGCTAACACCGCCATCCTTTAGTACTGCTTTGTTTTCTCTGGGCTGAGATGGGGAAGGATAAATACATCAATATTTTCTCTCATTAAATTTAAATTCAAACTCATGATCTCCCTCCAGAAATCAATGACCAGACAAAGTTTCTCTCTGACATAAAAGAAAGTTCCGTTTTCCAGGGGATAGCATTTTAATTTACTTATGCTGGTAAGGAAGTGTGTTGGAAATACACTGGTAGTTCTTCATACAACTAGCTTGATTATACGTATGTCTTGCTCTTTATTTAATGAGCCTCTAGAATTTGGATGACACAGTCGGACTGGCAGAAGGCACCATGCAGGCTGGGGCCACTTCCCACGGCTCTGTGAAGGCACATGGAGTTGGCGCTCACGTCCCCTCTGTTGCCCCGTTGCCTCGGTCCCAAGCTAAACACAGCCAGAGACAGGAAGAGGAGGGGGTTGAGTCACTGCCACCCGGATGACCACTGAAGTAAGTACACAGGGAGGAAAAAGTCTTCTCCGGCAAAACCGGGACGTTGTTGTGAACCAGTCTGTGGTCAATGACAGAAGGAAGAATGAAGAAGGCACAGAATTCTAGACTAAGACCAGAACCTGGAAGCCCATCTCCGTACTTGTCGCACCTCAGTGTGCACACAAACCACCTGCAATGCAGATCTGATTAAAATGCAGATGCCCGTTAGTAGCTTTGGGGTGGGGCTCCAGGGTCTGCCTTTCTGAGAATGTCCCAAGTGATGCTGATGCTTGGACCACGCTGCGAGCAGCAGGGCTCCCAACCAGCCCTCCCTGACTAGACGGGGAGGAAGTGAAGGAACTTGCCTGCTGAAGTCACCTGGCTGTTTAATGAATCAGAGGACAGGAGCCCTAGTCCTAACCCTGCCACCACCGAGGGCCTCTTCTCTGATTTGCACTGTGCTGCTCTCCAAGAAGCAAAAACCCTAAAACAAAGTAGGTAATGGTAACTCCAGGATTCATTAAAAGCATTGATGTACAACCAGACAGTGGGAAGGCTTAGGGAAGTTACTACGAGTTGCTGGAACGCTGCCCTTCAACTTGTCAGTGTCCTGGTGCCACAACCTACCAGCAGGACAGGGACAGAGGTGCAGGCTGGTGGGAACTTCGGAGCCAAAACAGTTTCATGGCTCCCCATTTACACAAGTCTCCTGAGTTGCGTATTAGGCGTCATGCACTTTTGTGGCTAATCGGTAATGCATTTCCTCCTCCTCTCAATTATTCAATAAATGTATCTTCCCAGTTAAGCTTTTCCATCTCAACAGTCAATTTGTCTTACTGTGCTTCTACCAAATTGGCAGGAACACTGAAAAAGATGACTGTATTGCTGTGTGCTCTGAATGTGCCAGAAGATGGGATGTGCTGAGGCTGAAAGAAAGAAGAATGTGCCAGTGGACTATTTAGGACTATTTAGTCTTATTTAGAAGTGGTATTCATTACATTTCGAGGTTCAAAAATCTCTCTTCTTATGATTGTAAAAATGATAGCACGCCATGCTACTAACAGGCATGCAATTTAAAATGACACTGCCTAGTACACAGTGGAAAGCATGAGTTTACTGCCTGTAAATGATACCTCGATAAACGCGACTCAAGCACGACAGGGTTTTCACAAGCTTACGGATAAATTAGGAGAAAAACTGTTTGATTTTGATACAAATCTGATATGTGTTCCCTGGGGAAAAGGGGCCCTTCTTACACATTAGCAGGAGAATGTAAACCCTAGAACTTCTGTGTAGGGCAATTTGGCAACATTTTGCCAGAGAGCTAATGGCGCTCCCTTGGTGTGCAAGGTTTCAGCTGAGAGACACAATGAAGCAACATGGTTTGAAGTGCAAGTTTGGAAACAACCTCACTGCAATCATCCGGGGACTGGAGACCCAGACATTTGGTGCGAGCACAGCCAGCACGGCCAATTCTGCAGCTATGAAAACAAATGGGGGACTCTGTATGAGAAATGGAGGAAAACTAACATGTACTCCTTTTTACCTCATGCATAAATAACCTCTGGAAGAATACACGAGAAACTAAGAGCACTGGGTACCTGTTCGGGGGTTTGGGGAAGACAGTGAACTAGCTGGACAGGACCTGGAGGAAGGGGAGATATTTCTGAATCATGAGATCATGTTACCTATTAAGAGTTTTATAAGACAGTTAGTCTTACATTTAAAAACAGCCTGAGCAAGATGAGAAGGAAATGAAAAGCAAATAAAACTGGGAGTTTATGGTTATGGTGGCGTGACTACAGAGGTATATCGTCATGGAACATATATTTTACATGAAGTAACAAAATACAATGTACAAGTTTCGATAATTTCAGCACAGTAAGTTTTATGAAAAAATATAAATGAGTAAAACTGACTTAAAAACCAACCAACCTGATCATAAGAGAAAACTGAAAACGTACTCAATAATGAACACTTCTGCCCCCAAAAGGTACCAGGTGCATAGTGTTACAGACAAGGTAGACTAAACCTGTAAGAAACAGATTATTCGTGTCATTTAAATAAAAAACCCACAGCAAACATACAACAAAAAGAGGCAAAAGTATTATTTACAAACCACATATAATTATCTAGCTCAAAAACATAGATAATCAGCTAAAAAATATTAGAACTAGTAAGAGCTTAGTAAGGTAATCAGCTAAAGAAAACCCACAGCTATCAGTAACTTTTCTACATGCCAGCAATGGTGAATAGAAAATAAAATTTAAAAAAGACCTCCTGTATAAAAACAAAAATCATATAGTACCTGGGAATGAAACTACAGAGATTACAAAAATATGTCCTCAAAAACGCTTACAGAACGTCTATGTCGAAGGGCGGTGCCGTAGCACAAAAGAAAGGGAAGCAGGTCGAATCCACAGGTGGAGGTTCTCCCTCAAGGACACGACCCCAGGAGTTCTCAGAATGGGGTGGGGGACGTTGTTTGGCTGTGACAGTGAGTGAAGGGCGTGGGGGGCTCTTGGGAGTGAGAGATGGGCTGCAGTGAGAAGGACACCCCACACAGTGCCCTGTGTCACTGTCCCAGTCCCACGGGACATCTGAAC